GTCCCTACTCAAAACAGAATGCTCATTTGCTTTGTCAAATCTGGTAAAAGAAGTGTCTGAAATGTCTACATATACAGGAACAAATAGGGTGCAGGACTGAGACATTCTAGGAACCACTGAAATTGTCACTGCGCACAATGGCTCTGGGTTGGCAACACTCCACAAAATAGGGACACCAATTAAAAAGAGGAAAAGAACCCAGATATGAGAATCTACATATACAGCCCAATGAAGCCGCCAAACAAACATCTAGAAGTCCAAGTTGATTGAAAGTAAAAACCTTGGACTCTTGGACATATGTTTGGTGCTCCTATTATATTGTATGTATGTGAAATGGTTAAATGTCCCACTTATACAGCTATTTTCTTCCTCCAGCTTGTAGTATTATGGTTTCTGCTGAAAGAAAGGATCATAGCTTTGATATGACTGCTTATTTGCCAGCTCTGTCTGAACAGATGTTTTCCCAAGCCCTTTTGGTGGAGACCCCATGACTAGTGCTATAGCTTTTTTTATGCCCAACACCAGAAAATTGGCAGTTATAAATACAGGAGCATTATAAGTGGATCCTGCGGCTTAACAAGGGGTTATATCGGATCAGGCAGTTTTTTTACCCATAGAGGGCCTTTTACACTGTGCCATTGCATTGAGGTGTTAGAAATGTCCCAAATGGAGTGGTTCCGTTTCTTTCAGATCTTGCATTTTTGCGTTCCCTTGTGCCTGATAAGTCAGGTCAATGTAGGGTCACTTAATGCAAAAAATGGTGCATACAGGACATAGGTCAAAGAGTGGGTATCTCTCTTATATATGGACTGAGACTGACTTCTCCTTCCACATTTTCTTACATGTCTGACTGGGAGAAGGATCTTGGGGAAGAGGTTGAAGCTGAAGACTGGCACAGGAGCTTTCTGAGATCCGATTCTGGCATTATGAATGTAATTTTGATAGAAGCTAACGTAAAAACACTTACTCGATGGTACATGGTTCCTATGCGTTTAGCTAAAATATATTCCTCTGCTTCTCCCCTTTGCTTCAGGGGATGTGGCATGACTGGATCCATGTTTGATATCTAGTGGGAATGTCCACAGCTGAGAGGCTTTTGGAATGGCATCTTTGCTATGTTGCGTAAAATTACTGGGTTACCCATTCCTCAGACCCATTCTGTGGCTCTACGTAATGCATTACTGGAGGATATTCCTGGACATTTACAACACTTAATTTTCTATGTTCTCTTGGGTGCAAAGATCACCATTGCTAGAGTTTGGAAGCAACCTTCAGTTTCTGTGGCACAGGCGAAGAAGAAAATCACCTGGATTATGCTGGAGGAAAATGCTGTTAGTATGCTTCATGATACAGAGGCCCGATTTGAAAGAATGTGGGAACGCTGGGCCGAATATATGAGTGTTGCTTTATGATTGCTCCGTGGGAGCAGGGGTTATGCGCCTCCTTAACATCCCATGTCAGACCTGTCTTTCAGATTTCTTTTCCCTCTTTTCTCCCTTCCTTTTCTTCTCTGGTAGTCTGTTACCAGTTTCTAATGTTCAAATGGATATCGCAGGCAGTTGCTTGGGATTTCTTGTGTTAGGTGTTTGTGGGAGAGAACTATGTGATACAAGGGGGATGTTGACTATCACCCTCCCTATCTCTCCCTGGTTTTGGACTTATTTGAACTTCTCTGTTAAAGATAGAAATGATCAGAATATGTGCATTCCTATGTATTCATTATCTTCCATTCTCTTGTACTAGTCTATTTTGTTACCAATGATAGGTATATGTTTTGTTATGTCGAAACTTCAATAAAAATCTATTGAAAGTAAGGATTGGGGTCTGTGCTGAGGAAAGAAGGGGCTGTGTGGGAGGGTCCCGCATGTGTCAGTCTCTGTGTCGCTTGCTGTGTGTTGCTTGTTGTGCTGATTGTGCTTCCATGGCAAACGTGTGCACACTTCCACTCCAGTACCATTTTGTTGTGGACTGTTCTGTGGTGCTGTAGCCTTGCTTGAACTCTCTCAGACGTTAATCCCTCATCTAGATCGAGCAGGACTGTGGCATTGTGGCGTGGTCTACAATAGTGGAGCTGGGTACCAGGATCATAAATGCATGTGAGATGTCATCCAATAATGATCCCCCTGAGGAAGTCTGATGTTCCAGCGATGAAATCCGTAGGAACTGGACTATTTTGATAACATCATCATACATGGAGCATTGGGAAAGTACAGTATTTATCATTGCTGGGTACAGCTGAATACCAGCAAGTTATATACATGCTGTTGCGGAGGCATGGTCAGCACAGTGGGTGGTGCATGGCAGGTGGCATGGAGGCTGATGCAGGGGGGACTTTTTTGCACATTTTTTTTTTCTTCTAGCACAGATTTTAGTTTTTATGGATTTATTGGTTGGAATATGTTAGGTATATAGCAAGTCACAGTGCAATATTTTGTACATAGAGCTACACCATTTTTGTTGTTATTGATTTCTTCTTGTAACCTCATTTGGAAGATTTTTTTCCCCACCTCCTGTCCCAAACCATAATAAAAATCTTTCTCTATAAATGGATCCTGCATTTTAAACACATAATATCTCATTTCAGCTAACTACAGTTGCCAGTGCTTTACTGGGGACCTAATTTGATTTGCATTTCCTGTGTAGATAATGGCAGAGGGCTGCTCAATGCTCTGGGCCAAATATAGGGCTCTGTTGTGTTACAGAAAAGATACTTACAGGAGGGAAAATCAGAGCTTGGCTTCAGTAAAGTTTGGCTGCTCCATAATTGTGCAAACATATATCCGTGACCAGTTTTTATTGATTAATTTAATATTGCCTACAGAGAGGTCAGGATCTGGATCTTCTGTCTGGTGGGAGTAGCTGTAGCACAGGGCAATAGCTGAACAGAATTATAAACCATTTGAAAAGAAAAACAGGGACAGCTAACATATATGTATTTCAAATGTATGTCTGACTGTTTGAGTTCAGATTTAATTCTCATTGGATTATTGGAGAGAAGATGTCCAACTGTAAATCCTGGCTTTACCTTCATATTGGAGCCATTACACTGTTAAGGTTTATTTATTATATCCACCTTATTTTTCTCTCCCTTGGAATTTAGGGAGGTAATAGCTGAAGCTAACAAGGAACACTTAATCTAATACCTAAAATAATATCGCTTTACCATGCAACACTTAATCAATAATATATGCCATAGCAATGAACCCCTAGTGCTCAAAGCACATGTAAGCCCTAAAAATGAACTCATATTTGCTTGATTTTGGTTTGTTAAATATATACCATTGAAGGTTTTTTATAATTTCTGTTAAAAAATGTTAACACATTTCTGTTCTGATAATACCGCTTCCCAGTGACCCTGTGACTGAAGTAAGCTTTAATGCCCAGGAGAAGGTGCAGCTTCTGTATCATGTTACAGCTGTGATTGGCCCTCACAGCGGTCACATGATTTGGAACCCAATCAGAAGTCATGATTGAGAGCTGTCCTGGTCAGTGTCCTCAGCACACAACCTTAGGTCGATATGGAAGCATAGTGTGCGTGCGATGGCTGGGCATTAAAGCCCACTTTCTTACCGTCACATATATGCCTTGTGTGGTTGACAAGAGGTTAATAAGTTAAAAAAAAAATCACTTTGCAGTGTTATCGCAAATATTATTATCAGCCCCACCCAGTTCACTTCTATGAACTATAGAACACGCCCCCCAACCCATGTTACAGAGGTGGTAAAGGTGACACGCAAATTCTCCAAAAGACTCAGTATAGTAAATGAGTAGCCATGCAGAGACAAAAAGTGTGTTACTGGCAGGACTGCCAGTTGAAAATCAAGAAAAAAAAAAAAAAAACCCTGAAAAAAGACAGCCATCCCATCTAATGCAGGCCATACATGGGTCGAATTCCGGAAGAATTTTCTTTCAAAAAGCATGACTAAGAATTTTTGTTTGAATTTTTCAACATTAGTGGGCTGCAGCATTGACCATTTTCATGTGGCTATCGAATTTTAGTGATCGAGCATTTTGTTTTTTTTTTAAATAAATTAATTTCTAATCATTGGTGGGAGAATTGTGCAAGAAATATAATGGAAAAAGAAATGAGTGTGAGCTGTGACCTGGAAAGAAAAGAATAATTCTTTTCTGTAGCAACATGAGGTGAAATTGAAGGTTTGATTGGTCGAATTTCGAAATGAATAGTCGCACCATTGGATTACATAATGCACAAAATTTCCCATTTTCTAAAGGAACATTTGTTCAGAATTTGACCTGTATGGCCTGCATAAGGACTGGTAATGGAAAATATATTCCAGTTTTTTTTCTTGGTTTATATACACTTCCTAATTTCAAAAGTAAGTTTGCACTTATATAAAGCAGTGAATTAGACTTTCACTGGTGGTGAATCAATCACCTAAAACACATGCAGCAGAAAGATTCACCTGCAGTGAATTTTTGCTGAATGTCAGATGTACTACTTTATAAATATACCCCTTAATCTCTTCCCAACACTTACCACCCCAAACCCTAATCCCTCCCTTTCTTAAAACCTACACCTAATCCTAATAATACAATGAAAACATAATGTAGAAAGGTACGGGACTTTTAAGGTGTTTATAACTTCAGGAATGATCACAAACAACTCCAGTAAAGACATATCATGTGTTGACATGTGATATTTTAGTTTTGGAGTTGTTTGTTAAATTCTTTATTTAAACTTTTCATCAGTACATACAGGTGATACAATCCCAGTAGGCGAGTGCATGCTGGTCTGTACAGTAAACTCGATCCTACAGGCCAACAGAGAATGTTCCCATCTGGGCCAGTTCACTCAAGCTGGAAATGGAGGGGGAAGGGGAAAAAAAAGGCAACACATCTGTGCATAATCCAGAGGAGTCCAATTTGGACAATTCACAGGGATAGAGCCTAACCTAGAGCACATCCTATACTTGAGATCTCTATTTTCGGGTGAACATGTGAAATCCATCCACCAGGGGCGGACTGACAACTCATGGGGCCCCTGGGCAATAGGGGATCATGGGGCCCCTGTGTCCTTGCCCAAACTCAAAAAGCCTATGAAAAAGGTACCAGGGGCATCTCATGGGGCCCCCTACTGACCCCGGGCCCTCGGGCAGTGCCCGAGTTTCCAAATGGTCAGTCCGCCCCTCGATGGACTTTGGGGTTAATTTACTAAAGCCAAATAGACTGTGCAGTTGCACTCCGCAAGTGCAGTTGCTCCAAAACATTCAATAAATGTAACAGAAGCGAGCGCCTAAAACATTTCAGTGACATAGGCACTGAGTGACTGAGCGGAGGAGGAAGGCTTCATAGGCATCTGTATGTCAATTGTTCGTACTTTCTTTTTTCATTTTTATTGAGGATATGGTGCTTTGAATACCCATTCATATAATTCTCTATATCTTAACCGCAATAATTAAACAAAGGAAACATATAAAATCAGTTACTGAAATAAAGCTCATCAGCTCTTTAACCTTTCATAGCAAAACATTCCTGTATCAATGCATTTCACATACATTTTGTCCTGAGTGCTTTGTCCTGTGCCCTGCCTGCATTTTGAATGTTCTTTCTGCCTGGAAACTTAGAAAAGTCCATGGCGTCCAAAAAGCGTCCCTTTAGGTCAAAAGCGGTTTTAGACCAGCTAGAGAACTGCGATAGTAAATCAGAACCACTTGCAGAATTGAGTGATAATGATTCGTGGGGAAATTCGTCATCAGACACTGAAAACGATTTTGCGACTTTGCTCAGTGATGTGCGAACTCGGCGCTATATTTCAAATTTCAGTGTTTTTGGTTTGATTATAATATTGAATTAAATTTTTTATTATTATTATTATATATTATTTTTTATGAGTATTTATTAAGTAAGTATTTACTAAGAATTGCAGGCCTACACTACATAACACCAAATTTCCATGCAAAAAAATGGTACAGCTTTTGGTACAAAATTCCTGACATAATCATACCGCCAGGGAGGTTGAGCAGAACAAATATTTGCTCAATGCTCAAATCTAAAGGTGCTCATACATGTAACCATCATTCACCGAGCTTGGCTGAAATTGGCTTGACATGGCAGTGATCCCTGTTGTCTATGTGGACTCATTTGCTCTTTAGGAAAATTCTAATGCTAAACATCGCCAGATCCATTGCTAGATTTTGTCACCAATGTTTGATTTCATGGCCATTTTTACAAGTACAGAGTTGATATTAAAATCTATAAATTTGTGTAATTAAAGTAAACACATATAGAGCGCTGTAATGATGTGCGGACATTTGTTGGCAGAGAAATAACTGAAGGTTTTGAGCCATTCCACTTATACATTTGACAGGAGGACTGCCTCTGCATTTAACATTTTTGATTTGCACAGCTTTATCTAAACTATAATTATAGACAAAACAAAACTGCAAAACGAAGATGAGCGCTTTGCTTACTGTGCATCACTGATCATTTATAATTACCATTATCAGCCTGGTCCATGCTGGTCATCTCCTGATTCTGACACATTGCATTATGAACTGCTCCAAATGTTTTACTGTATATTGTTCTAGCTTCGAGCCATGCTGTACATTTTATTCCTTTCCCAGGCATTAATCCCATAGGTCACCCATATAATGATCTCATTTGCAGGTCGCTTGCAGATGGACAAAGCTTTGTCACTTCCAAGTATAAATCTCAAGGGCACGGGGTTCAGGGAGGAAGCTAGAAAACTGTAATCTCTCTCACTTTTGATATTAAAGATATACAATTAATATTGTTGTCACGGAGATTGCATTCACTTCCATTTTTCATCATTGTTGCTCATAAGTTGCTTCATTACTTCTACTTTCTCTTTAGAAGCAAACAGTTTTTAGTGTTCTACATTAAAGTCATCTTATTAATTTATTTGGCTATAGTCATGTACACTCACTGGCCACTTTATTTGGTACACCTTTTCAATTGCTTGGAAACACAAATTGCTAATGAGCCAATCAGATGGCAGCAACTCAGTGCATTTAGGCATCTAGAAGTGGTGAAGATGACTTGCTGAAGTTCAAACAGAGCATAATAATGGGGAAGAAAGGGGATTTAACCTGTTGGTGCCAACAGTATGCAAATATGGGGCTTCTCAGTGGCTGGGTCTTGATGGCCACAAATTTGCAAACCCAAACCCAAATTAAATAAATGTACTGACTGCTCCTGGAACATTTACCAGTACCTCACGGAAAGGTCCCGATCGCTCGATCATGTGACTGCTGTGACAGCCAATCATGGCGATCACATGACCATAAACCCTGCCCTCCCTCCCAGCGCAAAAAAACACCTGGGCTGGGAGGTGTCGGTGTCAAGGGGTTAAATGACTTTGAACCTTGCATAGTTGTTGGTATTTCAAAAACTGCTGATCTACTGGGATTTTTACACACAACCATCTTAAGGGTTTACAGAGAATGGTCAAGTAAAGAGGAAATATCCAGTGAGCGGCAGTTGTGTGGATGAAAATGCTTTGTTGATGTCAGTGGTCAGAGGAGAATAGGCAGACTGATTCAAGATAATAGAAAGGCAACAGTAACTCAAATAACCATTCGTTACAACCAAGGTATGCAGAATATCATCTCTGAATGCACAACATGGCAAACCTTAAAGCAGATGGACTTCAGCACAGAAGACCACACCAGGTGTCACTCTTGTCAGCCAAGAACAGGAAATAGAGGCTACAATTTGCACAGGCTCACCAAATTTGGACAATAGAAGATTGGAAAAATGTTGCCTGGCCTGATGAGTCTCCATTACAGCTGCAACATTGATATGATAGGGTCAGAATTTGGCATAAACAACATGAAAGCATGGATCCATCCTGCCTTGTATGAACAGTTCAGGCTGGTGGTGCAATGGTGTGGGGGGTATTTTCTTGGCACACTTTGGGTCCCTTAGTACCAATTGAGCATCATCTAAATGACACAGCCTACCTTAGTATTGTTGTTGAACATGTCCATCCCTTTATGACTACAGTGTACCCACCATCTGATGGCAACTTCCAGCAGGATAATACATCATCTCACAAAGCTCAAATCATCTCAAACTGGTTTCTTGAACATGACAATGAATTCACTGTACTCCAATGGCCTCCACAGTCACCATATTTCAGTCCAATAGAGCACCTTTGGGATGTGGTGGAACAGGAGATTCTCATCATGGATGTGCAGCCGACAAATCTGCAGCAACTGCGTGATGCTATCATGTCAATATGGACCAAAATCTCTGAGAAATGTTTCCAACTCCCTGTTGAATCTATGCCATGAAGAATTAAGGCAGTTCTGAAGGCAAAAGGGAGACCAGCATGGTACTAGCAAGGTGTACCTAATAAAGTGGCTGGTGAGTTTATTTTTTTAAAGCTGAACTCCAGGATAAGCTAATATTGCCTAAATACAATAGACGTGTATTTTTTCTTGGTTCTTGGGGTGCTTCATGTATTTCCTCCAGATTTTTGCAGTAATCCAGTGTAAAATCTTGCTTCTGTGCTTCAGCTTCTTGTAATAAAGACTAGTCAGTGCTGTTCTATCTCCATGTGCAGGGTGACGGGTCTCTGCCACCAACATCTCCATAGCCATTATGTCATTAAAAACCTGGGTCCATCCAGGAGTGAGGGAGAGAAGTGCTCTTCCAGATATATTTTTTAATAATGGACAAAGTGGGGGAGTCTCAGAAGCTTTGTCAAGTTTTATTACTGTTTCTGTGGCTGTTGGGGACATTGTTCCATAACCACTTGCCTACGGGACACATTCACCCCCTTCCTGCCCAGGCCAATTTTCATCTTTCAGTGCTGTCGCACTTTGAAACAACTATGCGGTCATGCAACACTGCACCCAAATGACATTTGCTATCATTTTTTGAGACAGATTTCTTTTGGTGGTATTTAATCAAATGAAAAAAGACTGAACATTTTGAAAACAAAAATATTTTTCTTTGTTTCTGTTATAAAATTTAGCAAATATGTATTTTTTTAACCATCACTGATATGCGCTGATAGGCTGCACTGGTATACACTGATGAGGCGGCACTGATAGCATTGATGGGCATTTATGAGGTGGCACAGATGCGGTGGCATTGATGGGCATTGATGAGGTGGCACAGATGAGGCGGCACTGATGGCATTGATGAGGTGGCACAGCTGAGGCGGCACTGATGAGGCAGCACTGATAAACACTGATGTGCTGCACTGATAGGTGGTACTGATGGGCGCTGACAGGCAGCACTGATAAGTGGCACTGATAGGGGACACTGATGAGCAGGCACTGTTTGGCAGCATTGATGGGCAGCACTGATACAGCTGCACTGATGATCAGTGCCCTGATTGTCTGTGTACATGCCCCTGACACACTTGCCGGTTTCTGGCACTTCTCTTCGCACTTCTCCAGCACCTGAAAAAAGCACTGCCAATAATCGTCAAGTATATTTACATTTTGATCAGCTATGACTGGAATGGATTCAGTAGCAGTGTAAGCAACTTCCTATCTGCAAAGTCGAGTGGAGCTGCTTAAGCATTCTAGGGAAGTCTTGAAATTCTAACAGTGAATATAAGACTTCCTCTGATTGCCAAGGTGGAGAGGTTGGTGGATAACAGAGGAAGCCTTGTATTTATTGACAGAAATACAAGATGTTTACCTGCACATGTATGTGTTACATATTTCCTGAATGTAACATTTCAGAGTTCAATAAATACATTGGGGTTGATTTACTAAAACTGTGCAAAATATGGCTCAGCTGTGCATGGGAGCCAATCAGCTTCTAACTTCAGCTTGTTCAATTAAACTTTGACAAAAAAAAACCTGGAAGCTGATTGGTTTCTCTGCACAGCTGCACTAGATTTTGCACTCTCCAGTTTTAGTACATCTCCACAGTGGCTAAGTGGTTGGCACTTTTGCCTAGCAGTACCAAGGTTGTTGATTTGAATCCTATCCATGGCCCTACCTGCCTGGAGTTTGCATGTTCTGCCTGGGCCTGCATGTGTTTCCTTTCGGTATGAATGTGAGTTAGGGAGCTCCTTGAGAGTTAGGGATGGATGTGAATGTACAATATATTTATGTAAATTGACATCACTATATAAGTACTTGTAATAAAATAAAATCTCCCCCAGTGCATGAGTGGGTAAATGCTAATGCATGGAAGTATCAGCATTTAGAAGAGTATAACCCTCAACTTCTAAGACAGACTGTACATGGCACCTACAGCTCCCCAGGTGTGGGAAAGCACCAAGAAATGTAATATATAATGTATAGAATAGCCCATGTGCATGAACCCTTAACCCTTTACAAACT